TTAGTCTGGTGGCACACCCTGTTGTGCTGCTTTTTGTCACCAGCAATGGTTAGATTACCTGTCGATTTAATAGGGGAACTCTTTTTTTTCCCCTGTAGCCATTAAATATCATTCTACCTGAGATTTTTTTTTAAATCAGCTTCAGTTTGCCTGGTGGTATGACTCTCGCTTTGCTGAGGTAATTAGCTGTGACTCTGTCAAAGGGCTTCCAGTGTTGATTATTCTGGAACTGTATCCACTTCAACTAGCCTAAATTCAAAAAACTTAGATGCTACTTTCTTTTTCCAACTTAAATTTGGTTGAATTTTCACCATTCTGCTTCTGGACTTGCCAGTTTTCTGAGAACAGAAGCCAGCATAAAAGCTAGGTTTTTGGCTATTAATAGATAACATCTGTGAACTATGTGGGAAAAGTTTCCTTTGTCAAATGTCTTCAGGCCACAACAGTTCACTGTGTTGTTCTCTCAACAATTTCTTAGAAATGTGGCCTGATCACTGTGTTCCTTGACAGCATAACTACATTAGTAAACATAAAGAGGTCTGGAACACAAGATGACAACATTTTATACAGTGGCTTTGTTTACTGAAGCTCTCCTAAAAATGATCCCAAACTATTTCATTGTTTTAACAAATTAATTGATGTTTTCTGTTRCCCTGAGATATTTTTAATCACATTTAGACAATGACTTAACTGATAAAATCAATAAAAAGGACGGAGATTACAATTGTTTCAGCTCATCATYATACAAAAGAGACAAAACTGCGTGGTTCTGGGTGGGTTGCAAGAACCCAACAAGTCAATATCAAGCCCAGGAAAATCCCTTAAAGCTACGACAGAAGGGTGAAACCCAATTACCCGTCCTTGTCTTTGGGACGATCATAAAAACTCAACACACAAGTATTTCTYTGTTGACTTACACAGTATTGATTCATACTTTAGTGCATTATATAAAACTGTTCTAATTGCACGTGAATCAAAGCAAGGTCACCTTGAGTTTTTATAATGGTAGCTATTTTTCTTTTTTACCCTAATACTTAATACTGACATTTTTAACTCTTGACAAGTGCTGTCTGGAGACTTATCCATAAATAATGCATTTACAATACCTAGTAAATAAACATGGGGCACAATCGTTAGCCCTGCTGGCAACTCGGCCTAATAGAGCTTTTACAGCAAAGGTGACTATTCAGCTAAATGCAGCGCTCACTGCTGGGAGGACATTTTCATTCATTAGCACAGTCACAAGCACTTAAAGCACTTTAAGGATCAGAGATGGGGAGTAAGGGTAGAAGGATAGAGAGGGTGAAAGGGTAGAAATATAAAGAGATTAAGGAATGGAAAAATTACACCTATAACAATGAGCAATGTCTCCATTGTTGAAGAGCGTCGTGGCAAACGAGGTGACATGGATGATGTCTGCTCAGTCCTGCCTGAGACCAGGTTCAGGGTTTCTAGTTTGCTCAGTAACATCTGCAACACAGGATTGCCATCCGTCCCTGACTGTGAGGGTCTTTCCAGTCCATCTACCGATGACTACTTCCAGTTTGGGTTTTTTGTGACTGCATGGACTGTGTAAACCAACGAAACAATGTGCAAAAACAAATCTCCCCTTTAAAAAGTGGTGCCAAACACACACACACACACACACAAAACCTTCTTCCAACCAGAGGAAAAACAACACAAATGTTAACTTTAACAAAATTGTGTGTGCGGGAAGGTTTTCACTGCATTCTTTAAAAAGCTTAAAATTATTTGTCTTTTCTTTTAATAGACAGCTGACAAACAAGCGTATTACTGTCACCAATCGAGTGACTCGTGCACAACAACACAGGTGTCTCATAATTTGTATGCACACAAGCCTGTGTGTGTCAGAAAGGTTCCAACGCTTTGTGCGGTCAGACACAATGCGGCCATTTGTTTTTATTTGCATGAGTTTCCGTGCAATGTTGCAGGTCCTTTGGTGCCTGAGAGTCAGGGTACACCCTGGACAGGTTGCGAGTCCATCACAGAGCTACATAGAGACTAATGACAGACAACCGTTCAGCCTCTCACTCATTGGCTATACGAACAATATTTTGTTGATAAGACCCGTAGATCATTTTATTTTCCACTTTGGGTCATTTCTCACAACTTGAGTACCTAAAAGACATGAAATTATTTAGACCTTAATGAGAAACTCAGAAGAATGGCAGCAGYTGGTGAAGTGTGTCCTGTGAATCCTGACCAAGCAGCAGAATGAATTAGGCACAYCAGTTGTTATCCATGTACATAAGCATTATATTTAACTTTCTGATGCTTGTGACACCTTAAAAAACACCATTTAGACAATAAATGTTTTTTCCAACATCCTTGTATGATCTTTAATCCAGCTCTTTTCATTTCTAACAGCATCCCTTCTCCGAAAACAAAGATATGAGATTACAATCTCTGAAAAGTTGCTGTTAAGTTTTCTGTAGGCAGTTTGGGCGAGTCCTCCTCACTCCATCTTTCAGTAATCACTGATCATCACCACTGAGGCTTCCTCGAGAGCTCTCGACAACACAGTGACTCTCAGTTTGTACAGAGTGGGGACAGCATGCTGAACTTTACAAGACTCTTGTCTTCTGCTGTGCTCTCTGCTCAGAAACAACTTCCCTCCAACAAGGGAGAGGTTTTTGTTGGTGATGATACAGAGTGCATGAGACACACCAAGTCACTATTATTAACAGGAGATTAAAACAGCTGTATGGCACTCCAAAGGCCCTCTCTCCTCCCTGCACTAACATACGGCTCAGGCTCACAAGCTGCACTTGACCATTTAAATTACGGCAACAACCAGCCTTCACCAGCTGGGGCTCATTAACATAATGTCCACAGTTACTACTGAGAGCGCTGACACAAAAATCATTTCAGCARGGAACAAGACACGTGAAATGTATACTTACTTTATAGTGAAACAAAAAAGTAGTAGGATTTGGAAGCAAAACCATATAAACTACTGTATTTATTCGTGTATAATATGATCTCATGTATAATATGACCCCCTTTTTTGAGCTTAAAAAGCATAAAAAATTTAAACTACCTCCAATTTCATACAGACTTCAAGATTTTTCAGCCTTTGCTGTCTTTATACATACCAGCAAAATGATCATTGGACTGTTCATTTTATTTTAACAACATATGTACTAAAAGGTATTTTGACAACAAACATATATCAGCAAACTATGGTTTTGAGCATCAAATGAATTCTGGCATTTTACACATATTCCACCAGGATGCGCCACCAGAAAAATCAGAGACTTCACATGAGATTTGAGACCATCTTGTGGGGGAAAAGCAGATTACTTCCTACTCGCGAGCGCCCCCTCTGGTGGGGAAACATTTTTTTAGGGATACAAACTTTTTCAGAACACCGGTAGACGGCAGCCATTACAGACGAACGTGTGTTTGTTGCTYTTCGAGGAGCGGCCCGGTCACATGCTAATGTCATTACTTCGTTATCATTACTGAGGTGCAGGACTGCTTTTCCCCCCTTTTTTCACATCATGTCGCCTGCCTGGATCTGTTATTATCTCGCTCTGATGTARGGAGGAGAGAAAAGGTCGTTTCAACTGCTTTTTACGACGCGGTCTCATTTAAGGAGTTTTGTGAATGAAGCTGAATTTTCAGTTAAAATACATAAGTAAAAAATATTTATCCAAGTATAGTAACACCCCCCAACTTTATGGATGATTTTATGGATTTAATTTTACGTATTATACTTGAATAAATATGGTAATTATTTTCCTGTGAGATGATGTGGTCCATCATTCTTGCACAATAGGATCAATTCTAGATTCAGGCCATCAGCAAGAATACATCATAATCCCTAACCATTTTGTCTAGTTCAAAACCGAGCACCTTTAAGAGAAGAAAAGCTTTATCCAACAGTAAAATGTATCTAACGTTGGAATTCTTATCAGTTTTCTGATGTTTACTTTTGTAGTTTTGTTTTCTTTACACCTTAACCTTAATGGGTCATTTGGATCAATTTCAATTATCTATACTTTCAAAGGTCTGACAGGAAACCTCATTTATTGTGGTTCTGTGGAACATGGGACTGATTGCTCCGTCTGATAATATCCAAATAACAACACGAATCATCAGTCAAATGAGGACGTGCCTAAATGATTATCGGGTGAGTGGTTCTGTGTTGCTCTGTTACAAAGATCGCCACATGCGCACTTAAAAAAAAGAAAAAAAAAGAAGTGGCAAATTATTTTTAGGCTAACAGAGGTCTAATTTATTCGTCTGATGAAGTGCTTAAGCTAAGAGCTCCCCAGACACTAAATGAGACACATGTGTTCCCAAGGGGGTTTAACATTTGATTGGATGTAGTTATATTACTACAGCCCTAATTAAGAAGGGGGGATGTGTTTCAGCAGCTCTTTCAAATATTTGTTTTTCTGCCATACTCTTGATAGACTGCAGGCTGTAGGAGGGAGAGCCAGACAGGGTGAAATGTTGCAGATATGACGGAAACCTAACAGTCTTATCAAAGAAGAAGAATTTCTTATTCTCAGTGTCTGTGATGTCTTGAGGAAAGATGAACTAATTAGGTACATTAATTGGTTTAGATCTTTGAGAAGAGCTTGGGTTGTCTGCGAGACCTTAACTTTGATGTATAACTGCTCCGAGTGAAAAACAGTCTGTGTGGCAAAATAAAAAAAGAGGTAATGTTCCTGGCATCAGGTCAGCACTGTGAGTTTTACAGTCAGAGTTTCTCTTGGCATGAAAGAGGACCACACTTCTGCTGAGGTGCACTGCCACACAGCCGGCCTTTGTCACACTGGAGGAGGTGCAAAACAAACTGGAACTACTGGAACGTCAGTAATCCCGGCTTGTGTGAGCGGGCATAAGTGTATGGGACGGAGAGAAAAGAGGCAAACAGTCAGGAAGAAGGAAAAAAAAAGTTTTAAATAAAAGGGCGGATATTTAGCAAGGAGAAGGCATTCCGACACTAAACACATAAAGAGTCATACCATCTTGTTCTGTCTTTGTCATCTCCTCCAGCTTCTTCTGCTTTAGTGAGTCCACAACGTCTGCCAGGCTTCCTTTGCGACGCTCCGGAGTTCCAAACACTGATCCGCTCAGCAGGTCACTTCGCTCCCGGGCCCCCTCCTCYGGCTTGTGTGGAGATGTAGAATTGTTCCGGAAGGAGTACAGGGAACATACTTTATTGCTGTCAGATTCCTGTACGACAAAATAATAATAATAATAATATGAAAAGTTGGTAAGGGAAGCAACACGGGATGTGTATTAAATGATTAGTGTGTTTTTGTGCTGTCTGAGCTCTGAGCATTTTGACAGTTTTTCACTCAAATACGGTGATTGCCAGGGATTTTTCAACTCACGGCCGATTCAGCCATTTTAAATGGCTCCTCCCTGGCTTTTAACAGCAACTTCTGTATTTTCAACAGTGCTGGCATAACAAGTGAAAAATTGAGATGAAATGATGAGGTACATTTTCATAGGACATATCCATAATGTGCTCAGCTTTTGCTATTCATCTGCACAGACTATACAGAGAAACCTCCCAACTATAATCTCTTAAATTGCTGTTGAGAGTGCATTTGTGTTGGGGTGACTGCTGTGTAATTTGTTCATTTTCTAGTAGAGACCTATTCTCAGCTGAGTGCCTCGTGTGTTCGTAAATCTGCGTCCTGTCTCGGTGTGTTTGTTYTTTTTTTGTCCCACCTGTGCATGGTTTAGTATTTAACTAAGGGTCCTGTCTCTGGCTGACTGGCTGAGTGCTCCCTGTGCACAAACAGAGACATGAAGAAAAAGGGGGGAGAAGAATGGGGGAGGAGAATACTCTGCACATGGGAGTGTATAGTCAGCACACAGACCACGGCTGAGGCCTGCGACTGACAGAAGGTGGTGTTAATTATGGTTTCTGGAGGCTGGAAAAAACAGAAGGTAGCTAAGCAGCCAGGAGTTGGAGCCTTTAAGTGGGGAACTGTTAGGCCTGATATTAACTTTGGCCCACCAGTTAAAGAGAATAAACTAGAATATATACCAAATACATGCTGCACATTTATTACAAATAAAAGCGTTTTTTTAAAAAAAGCAAAAAATAAACTTTTGTTCAACAACACAAGTAAATAAATCCCAACATAAAAAACTCAAGAAACCAGTAAACTAGACTGGAATGTTCACGGTGCCAACATCTCATCCCTATGTGGCATGTCGGGCTCAAAGCAGACTCGCAGTGGCGTGCAGGGTGGTTCGGTACCAAGTGGTTGGATGGCACGGCCGAGCAGCACCTCCTGGCCCCGCGTTGGATGGTTATGCAGCATAGCAGAGACGGTGAAGAGAGCTCGAGGGGAGTGGAGAAGTGCTGGGTTAATCAGCTGGCACGGGTTCAGAGCACAGCCCACACAGACGCATGGCACAGCAAGAGGGTCAGGTAATCAGCAACACTCCCATTCCTTCCACCTTGTGTCAGTCCAGTCTCTTTTTCTCCTGCTACCACTGGCAGTCCACAAGTTAGCCTTCCTCTTTCTTCAGTGTGTTTTTTTTATTAATATAATGTTTATTTCAATTATATTTTAGTTTGTCTTTTTAATATTTCTAGACAATATTTTAGTTAGTTTTGTCACCTGCCACTGCCTAATTATTTATATATTAATATAAAGCCACATTTCAGCAGGATATTTTTGCTCAATTAAAAAAAATAAATTACATCATATTGTAGAAGTTGTAAAATTTTATTTTTATATTTATGAAATATAGTAAGTACTCCCTTTTATTTTTACTTGTTTATAACCATTATGAACATTTTCATTGAACATTTTATATATATATATATATATATATATATATATATATATAATTTGTACTGAATAAATATCACAACTCCCCACTGATTTGAATTTTAAGGTCTGAATATGGAAAACAAATACTTATTCCATCATAATTATTTAATAACATATCTTTTAAAATTACTAAAAGTAAAAAGAATAAATAAATTCTGGTTGGTAGAGTTAATATGCCACTTATAATAAACATCTGTGTTGCCCACCCCAGCATTATTTAAGTATAGTCTGCCACAGCTCTGTGTGTGTTGTTGARGCGTTGAGGGTCTCAGTAGCCAAATGATGAGTGACATCAGAGGCTCTCTGGGTTGTTGGTATTTTTTTCTTCTTCTTCTTTTTTTAACCAAAGACCCGTCTGTCAAAGACAACCACCTGCCTCCTACAGCCCACGAGAGCCTGAGCTCGTCCTCGCTCTGCTCACATCAAAGCAGCCCCGCGCTCAGGATGCACAGTGTCTGGGGTCTTGCTGTAGATGTAGCTCTCGCACAACAAAAAAGTAGCTCGCACGCAACAAAATTGAGACGTTTTTCTAAACAGCGACAAGCATCCAAAGCATGCGTGTGAAGCTGCATTTTTCTTTCATCGAAAATGCTGCCATTTTTCTGCGCCATCATTCAGAAAAGAGTAAGAGATCCTCAGTTTGACCCTYAAATAGCTCATGATGTAGTGTTTGGCACAGTTTCCTTTTTGAAGATCCCCAAATCCCCACAGCTCAGGAGCATGGAGAAATCACAGGGCTTGAAGGGGCAAAGATGGAGAATTAACTGAGGGTAAATCCGTAAACCAGAAACAACGGAAGCCTGAGAAGGCTGGATTTTAAAGGGAGGACAAAAATACAGAAGTGCTTTACGAGTGTGTATTTGGCTTCTACAAATGTGGTTTTTGAAAATGCAAATTATATTTAAATATCTAAAATTGCTGTCATTTTTTTAAACCTAATTAAAATATGCATGTCTTACCATGCGCTGCTGTGCTGACACCAGGCTTTCCCAGTCGCTCTCTGGTGGTACGCTGCTGAGCGGCTGCATTTCATCGGGGGCTTTTCCATGGAGCAAACTGTGCAGGGGCAGCTGTGGTGTGCCGTGAGCTTCTGCACTCTCATCTTTTTCCCAAGACAAGTGCTCCTGACCCATGGCATCGTCGCCATCAACCACAGAGGCAAAAGGAGATGTGGCTTGCTTAGAAGACATGACTCTGCTGCAGAGCAATAAAAGCAGAGAAGAGGAGAGGGYAAAAAAAGAACATTAAATTAGTGAAGAAATCTATTTAATCAATTTTGCACATAAGAAGATAAAACAACTTTAAGTGAATGCCTCCTTTTARTGTCACCTGTTGCTGCTCTGGTCTGCAGGGTCTCTAATCTTTTGTTTAATGCAGATGGATGAATTGATCTGAGTCTGGAACGTTGCCTGCTTGGGTTCTGGCCCAAACCCCAAGACAGGAACTCAGACAGCAGGTCAGCCAGTGAGTGGGATTGAATCCACATAAAAATTGAAAAACCTGATATGTTAACTGGTTTTTCAAGGGGAACATAAATTAATGTTGCTCACTTCCAAAATATTTTCTGACACTACCTGAGGAAGAGTTCATTTTTTTAGCTAAAAGATTTTATTTTGTCCTTCATTCATCTTGATTAGTTTTCTTGGGTGAAGTAAAGTTGTTGTAAACATACTTTCCTTTATTGTAATCAACAACCAGGCACGTGTTCTTTGGTTCCAACATATCAAACTGGGAACATCTCAAATACTTTCATGAATATTACTGTGAAAAGTACACTTGACTAATCAGGTGCAAAGAAAACCTATTTCAATTCTAATTTGTATCTCTTTTTTTTATCTTCGCCTTTTTACAACCCATCTTTTTTTCGCTCATGTACAATTAATCCAACCAACTCCACTGTTTTCTCACAAATAATGAGGCTGCACTCATGCTGTGTGTTACGATGAATGAAATTAAACACTGCACCAGGAAATCTAATTATGCATTTGGTATTAAATTAAAAAGGGGGAATATTATGGTCTTCCTATGATGTAAAGTGGAGAAAAGGAGCTGGAGAAAATTTAGCTCTTAATCTGCATTTTCTCTCTAGCCGCTGCTCTGTTTATTGCCCTCAAGCTGGAGGATATTGACCATTAAAATTAGACTATGATTCAAAGTTCAGTCTTCTCTGAACGAAGAAAGAAAATTTGGTCACTGATGACTTGTCACATGTTACGGAGTACGAAGAGCAGTTTTTGTAGCACATTTTGTCAGTGATCACCACCTGCCCCGCTTTCCTGCTCTATCCACAGGGGTCAGAGTGACAGCACTTTAGTTCAACACTCAGCTTGTTGGTGGGGGTGGAGTGTGCGGGGGTCCACAAGGCTGAGGCAGACTGAGGTGCTATGGTGTCCTTGCACCAAATTTAGGAAAGGATGTTTTACCAACAAGGTTTTATGGTTTATGGTCAAGGAAATCGGATAGATAACACAATTTGTGCACAAATACTGGTAAAAMAAAGTATTATTGTTAGTCACATGGAAAGGATTCTTCACACAGGACTTTTTTTCTTTTTTTAAGTAAATGACGCAATGGCACATTTAGTGGAAAATGAGACTTAAAACAATATGTGCAGTATTAAAAGAAGTGGGAGTTGGAGCAGACACTGTATACACAGAGCAGGCACGTGGACTTGTGCCTAACTACCCGTCTGTCTTTCTGTTTGTCTGCCTGTCTTTCAGCCTCTGCACTTACAAGTGTTGTCGGCTGTGTTTTCAGTAGGACTTCGCCCTCAATTTTAATCAGCCATTAAATTGTTTCCTGTAATTATATCAAACAGAAACTGAGCTGAAAATTGTGTACTGTTAATTGAAAATCAAGAGTCGGAGCAAAGTTCAGGGCATGTACGTAATGGTAGTGTAAATGCAGTGTGTGTGTGTGTGTGTGTGTGTGTGTGTGTGTGTGTGTGTGTGTGATGAGAGTAGGCCTATCGGTAGAATCGAACATATTTTTTATTCATGCACCCAAAAAGCTTGAGCCCGAAGCGAAACAAGCGCCTTGTCTTCAGTGGAGTGTGAGCATGAAACAAAGCAGTGCTTTTGTATTACACAGTAAATCAAGTGGTATTATTTTACCACTAAAATATTCAGTCTCTGAGGCACTTTTACTTTGGTCTCCAGCCATCAGTCAAGCTGCTGAGGCGTGAGCGAGAGAAGACGATAGACGGAGGAAAGTAAAGAAGACYGGGAGCAGTGGAGACTCCATCCTCCTGTAACATGTGTCGACTGCAATCTTGTTAAAGAATGCAACAGATCTGCAGCGGGCTCCATAACAGTATTTGTCAGCAGGAGTTAATAATTTATTAGCAGCGCTGGGAGGGCTGCGCTCAGGCAGCTAAAGAGTGCAGAGAAATCTTTCTGCCCCACCCCCATTTCTGACAAGCTCCATACAATACTACCTCATATTATTGAAAGGGAAAAGGGGAAGTGTGGCAATAATTCTCTGAAAATATCTGAGGGCAACTGTACAGTGCTTTTATTCCTCATATTTAGAGTGGGGATCACACAACTCTGAGATCTAAAGAAGCGTGTGTGCAGAAGATCGGCGCTGACACAACAAAGACTTTTGACGAGGCGCAAAAGAGAGAGAGAGTGAGCTAAACTCGGTTGAAGCGTGTGGAATTTGATCATATTTTCTGATGGAATAGCACTGTTTACACTGTTGGCCTCCATGCTTGCAGGATAAAATCAGCAAAACAACCCTGTTTGTACAACTGCAGTGTATTCTTGAAATAACTTTACTCACATTAATAATTTAATCAGTTTTGCAAGGAAATAAGCTCAAGTTTTTCTATACAAAATAAAATGAAAGTAGAGTGAACTGATAAAAAAAGCTCATTCATTATTGACAGTCTACCTTCTCTTATGTTTTACTGTTATTCAAAAAATGAAAAAAAAAAGTGTGATATATAGGACCACTTTTTTTCTTTTTCCAAAAGACAAAGCCTGAGTTACTTTGAAGAAGCAAAGATGAGACAGGGTCGGAAAAGAAAGCAACATGGCCTAAATATAGCTGACAATATTGCYCACATTTGAAGGATTAGGACTTCAGTTCTCGAGCCACGGGCTCATATGGCCTGGAATGGTTTGAGTCATGAATTGTTCCTCGAGATAACGTTTCATCATCGTGCAAAACATCCTCTGCTTAATTGGTAAGTATTAGAGTATTGCTGTGCGCTGCTGGTCTCAGGAGGGCTTGTGACTGCRGGGCCATGTGTCCCCAGCTATCCCATTTCCTCTTTCATCATAAAAGGGTCTGACCAGCTTCCAGCCGCTGGATCTGCTCTTTCACACTGTTTACCTTTTATAGACAATGGTGATAAGTAACTCCACACCGTCTCCCCCACCAGCCCGTCCCTCCCACTTCTAGTTCAAGCGCTGATGTCATGCACATTCAACTTTTGATCACTAGCCCCAGTGTTCTCAGAGAAAATAAAATGATTATGATGACAAATGATAACGTGTGTGTGTGTGTGTGTGTGTGTGTGTGTGTGTGTGTGTGTGAGAATGAATGAGTCAGACAGTGGGAAAATCATCTGTGTGTTTCCCTTCAGGGGTTCCTCGTGTTCTAACAGGTGTCATGGTAGGGTTCCTCTGGGTTCTTCACCTGCCATAATGAGATATAACTACCTGACAGCTCCCAGCTGGAGGAGCACTGACACACAATCCACCGTTTAGCACAATTAAATTATCACCCTCCATTGTAATTGTGCCATGCTGTGCGGCAGCCAGGTTTCTGGATACATAATCGACTCGTAATGCGGGCTGTGTATTGCTCACGGTGTCTTTTTCACTCACTCAGAGTGCAGGCTTACACATGTTTGTCTATTGTGTAACACCTGGGATTTCAAAAACAAAATGAATTAAAATAGATTTGCCTTTTTTTATTACCAGGCAGCAATATACAAATTTATTTATATCTTTAAAAAAAGAATTAAAATACAGTAAATGGCTGAGAAATTACCAACGAGTGAACAACTGCACTGAGATAGAAGACTTGTCTAAATGAATTTGTTTAAATTGTTGCTCCATTATTGTTGACCTTCCCCTGCAAAAAGTCAACTCAATTACGGTGGCACTTCAACTTCACTTCACATTCTCTCGTGGTGCCTTCTCCATTAGAAACCACTGCGGCTGCTGCAGTTAAAAACCACACTCGAATGATAGCCACCCAGAGCAAATTAAGCAAGCCACCTGAAGTGCATACTTTACATATTGAGCAGAGCATTGATAATTACTTTGCAGGGCAAATTATTTTCAATAATATGTTGCTGGAGGAGCTGCCTTGTATCTCACTTTAAACACTTGTGCAGCTGCCGTGACTGCATGGCTGGTGTCCTTGCCCCCCAACCAAGGCAAAAGCTGATGCAGGTGTGAGAGTGCTTAAAAGTCTCTGCCTAATCGGGAAGGGTCGATGAGCACTCACAGACTGGATCCTTCCTTTACCTCCTCCTCTTTCTGTCTCCTTTGCCACTGGCAATTATTTATTTATTTAATTTATTTATTTTGTGATCCCAGAATACAAGCTCAGACCTTGATGGCAAAACAGCCCCTTAGTTCTTCAAGACATGTTTAACACATGCACGTGTATGAAGCCCGCGCGGGGACATGGGAGAATTTTTTTCTTTTGCGTTCCCACGCAATAGTGTTGCGTTGCCTCGCAATACCTTTTGCGTTCCCTCGCAAAAGTGGTTTATCACTGTTGTGCCTGCCGTTTTATTAACGAACTCACATGTTCACCATTAGTGAGTTAGCCTACTGCTTTAATTCAGCTTCAGAATGAATGTGTCACACAACTACGCATGGAAATATGTCATATGCCGATATTTTAACACCGTGCAGCCACGCAACATCAATGTCAATTTCACGAACTTGTGGCGACACATCCTGTTTTGGTAACCGGATATTTCAAAATAAAAGTCTGATTCATATACAAAACAATCTTTTGCGTGGGAACGCAAAACAATTTTGCGAGGTAACGCAAAAGTATTGCGTGGGAACGCAAAAGAAAAAAATCTCCCCATGTCCCCTCGTGGGCTCTATACACGTGTACTAAAAAAGGGGGAGGGGGGAGCAGCACCAAAAACCAACGGTCAGTTTTCTATTGAAATGATTAATTAAAGAATTGAAGCTACTGTTTGGAATTTACCGATCAGAGGG